AAAACAGTGTTAAAACAAATGTAAATAAACAAGAATAAGAAGCGTTTACTGTGTACATTATACACATAATATAGTAGATATAGTTGCACACATAAAATAAAAAATGTATTTTGCATACATATCTTTAACAATCATTATATTTCAATTTAAGCATTCACCTTGATATAATGTGACTAACTCGTCGAGAAATCGCACAGAAATTGGGGTGGAAAACGATTCTATTTCAATATTTCACATATTAATCCATTACACAAAGTTTAACGTTGAAAATCAAATCCTAGAATACAAAGGGTTAAAATCAAAAGTTAAGCAAATTAAGGATCAAGTTTACAAAATAAATATCAGAAAACACGACGAGACAAGAATCAGACTGCTAACGCATTGCTGATTCTCTCAAAGATGACATCAATGGTGGTTCTAATTTCTTGATCAAGGACTGCATGTAACGTAAAATATAAAACAACGGGATAATCATGAAAATGACCAAAATCGATACAACGGTCAGAGCCGATACGAGCACCCTATTGCCACCACGGAAAAGAATCGATAAACCCGGGGAATGCCTTTGACAGTGCTGGAGTCGTACGAAGGGTTCGTTCACGGTGCACTCTATGCTGATTCGTTGCGGTCGCCGCTAAATATAAAGCAAAGAGCTGGGAGGTGCGGAATGTCCTGACACTTAATATTCTTGGAGCAGACGAGCATTTTACGAGACCAGCGGGATTCGTCGGAATTTTCAACAATATTTTAAAAGACCACACTCTGAGCATCCGTAGACGAAAATGGAGCAAGACTTGCAGGACGACCGCCACGTGTGTGCGTTTGTACATGTGGGAATGTGTGCGTCTGACTCGAGCCAGACCAGGCCTACCTTAAAGTCTGACCATTAGGAAGGGAACCGGAGGGTTCGGAGCGCGATGAGGGAGTTTTGATCGAAAGAGGTAGATGCTGATAGAGCGGACGCGAGACGTTTGGGGCTTCAATTAAATGAAAGGAGAAGCTGAAAGGTACGGAAGTTTTAGTGATGATGTTAAACCTATAGATACGCTGTCTGCCAAAAGTATGAGGCATAGGTCTTCTAATTAATCGGTTGCTCTATTATTTCTTTCTCAACTATGATCGATGCGATTACTTTTGGTTATTAGTAATTCTTTCGAAAATTAGAGAAAATTCTAGGCATACTTTATGTCTATATCTCCAAACGGTAATAACTGATGATAGAAGAATAATATTTAATTTGAATTCAAAAGGATGGGGTAATATTTATGCTGGTTAAATTCTGTTTGAAATCTTTGCTACTTCATCCCCGTTCACCTTGGGAACGCGGATGATTGGAACAGACGTAGTTGAGTAATTCAAAAGTCATTTTTGACTGAGAATAGAACTTTATTAGGCGTGAATTTCACGAAAGACTCTCTTTACAGTTTCATGCATCCTTTCAACTTTTTGTATTATAGTTGAGTTTAACGATGTGTACACGTTAGTAAATAAACGAATTAATAAATTTAGAAATAGGTAGGTATAATAAGATTAAAATGCACCACTATCTCACACCATACAGCCTTATTCATACTAATCTTTATTATCTAATTATTAGTAAGCGAAATGACTTTCCTGGACACGTATAGAAGATAATAAACCGTGGCATAAGGTAAGAATCGAGTCTGGATTTGTTTATATTCTGTTCTATAGCCGCCACATAATGGAAAAGTGTCGATCTTTCTGTGGCAAAAAATTAATTTTGCGAAGTTTTTAAAGAAATGAAGTGATTTCTTTAATTAAAAACGAAATATCCACTAATAATAAACTTGATAAGTTTCTTGAAAAATAATAAATACGTAGTCGAAAAGGGAGAAACAAATAATTAATTTTATTTGATCAATCAAGAGACGACGGATTGTTCGGGAACTCAGTTTCGAGTATAATTATCATTTTCTTGTTGAATTACTAAAGAACATTTTATCGTTACTAGAAGATTAGCTCATCTGCATTTATTAAAATCTTACTGACTTTTGATTAGTATCTAACATCACTTATCCGAACACCGATTATACGACTTTCAATTATGCGAATGAACGATTATAAATTAAACAAGGTATCTACCAATGTTTACATTTTATAACATGTATCCTTTCTATTTCACGTGTCCTATTTTAGTGTCTTGTCTAAATGTAAGTTTAGTGTACACGATTAAATTTAATTTATATAAAACAATATTACTGAACATCTATAAAAAGGGTGAAAGTACATGTAAAAACTGTTTAATTTTAGTTTAATTTATAATATGTTCATTTTGGCCCTTCCAATCCAATTATCTGAAAAAAACGTTAATCAGAACGGATCTATCTCCCAATTGGTTCAAATAATCGGCATTCTACGGTACATCTATTGTAAAAGCTGTTTTTTCAATCTCCGATTGATTTGTGACATGTTCACTTCGGTATTTCCAAAGTGATTATCCGAAAGATCGTTTATCCGGACGGATTTGTCTTCCAATTAGTTCAGGTAATCGGTGTCCTACTGTATACCGGGTAAGTCATTCAATCGTGCTGTCTGAATTTACTTGTAAACCATTTATCGCATAAAAAATGTTTCAAACGAAAGTTTGTTAGTAATACTTAAAACAGAAATATTAAATTTTTGTTCAGGTGTGTATGAATATAGTTCATAATAAACCACACAACTAAAAATTATTATTAGAATTTCTCTATTCTATTTATTATAATCAAATTAAAAAGAATTAAAAAAGAAGGCAATTTTCTATCACGGTAAGTAATCAAGTGTTACACAAAAATAAGATATGTAATAATAAGTATACGAGAAAACAAGTTTCTGTCGAGGTAATAAGACAAGCATAAAGTGCAGTTATCTAAATTGCTCTTATCGTTAGAATGTTTGAATAAAATTCAACACAATTAAAAAATGAATTCACATAAATACAATATTGAATACTCAAAATATTGTGACCCCAAATCCTAGCTTCTAATTAGAAATAATTTAAAGTGTCACTAAAATATATGCACATGATCAATAAGAATTTAAACGAATTACTTACTTATCGTTGGGGAGAAATGATATTCATTAAAAACTAGTTCGCGCTGAAGACGAATAAAAGAGTTATTGTTCGAGAACGAGAACAATGTCGGCAATTATCGCAGCGAGAGTATTCAATACAAGATACGAAGGTGTAATGCATTTTTTCTATAGATTCAATATAATAATCGCGCAACGAAAGAGAACTGATTACTTGGTAAGCATTATTAAGTTTTAAACGAAGTCCATTTAAATATTATTTATATCATATTAATGATTTATATAATTTTATAATAAAAGATCATGTGTATAATTATGTAATTTAATATTATAAGATAATTTAAATGATATAGTTTTAAATAATATGATATTTTTTCACATACATTTTTAGTAAATAAAAAGTATTTACTTTATTTCTGTAAACAAAGGGCGTTCCATATTTATGGAGCAGATTCTATACTACACCAAACATAATTAATTGAACAACCGAGATTTTTCATTTCATACTATCAAGATACAAGATAAGTACAGGCATCATTGCTAGCGTAAATAATCCTACAATACAATAAACTTCTTTTCTATAACTTTCGTAATTCCGTGTGTTTTAAATGTAATTGGTCGAGATATAATTCTAAGTGTATAAAACCAGTTTAAAAGTGGTGCTCTGAAGTATAATACCTTTAGTTCACATCAATTACAGAAAAATACTATTTTCCACTTGTGAATAGTTAACTACTATAGCGAACAATTAAAATAATCATACAACCTATTTTTTTGCTAAAAAATTAATAGTAAATTAATTATACAACAAGGGTTAGTATTCCCCAAACAATTATAATCGCTACTATATTCATAAATGAAACTCCTAAGTGCAAAGTTCAATTACTTTTCCTTTATAAGTCTATTATTGTTTGTTTATAAGTCCAAGACTTTTATAAACAAACTTCAGGAGACAAGAATTGTGTAATATTGTATTTTTTGCAGCAACAGCTTCAGCAAATGAAATATTACCTAAAATTCCATCAAATTCTATATAACTTGAGATTATACTACGTCTTAGAATTATATACAAAATATAAGTACATAAATATCCACAGTCAACTGTACTCATTAAAAGATAATAGACTAAAAGAAACTGGACTCATGAAAGTCTGCTCCGAATCTTCAAATGCAGAACAACCCGTGGGTTACAATTTGTATTATTTCGAATGTTATTAATATATAATATATCTTACTACTTTAGAAATTCTATAATCAATTAGTAATAAAGGAGAATACTAAATATGTCAAACAAAATAACTTATAAATAATTCAATAAATTAACTATCTGTAATCGGTAATATATATTCCAATCTCAATGACACGAGACAGTTAACTCCTTGTCCTATAATTTCTTTCACAATTGTACTTAATACAACCATTTCATCGTTAATAATTTAGCAGCAAAATAAAGAAATGCGATACTTATTCTATGTCTACATTTCCTCAAAAAGTTAAACATTGATAACAGACAATAATATTAACATTAGATTTACGGACATTTACTGCACAGTTTATTCTATCGTCTTTAGAAAAGTTAATATTCGTTCATTTAAATTTTCGAAATTAAAGGTTCAAAAGGATACATATTTAATTAGACAATTAGGATACACATTTGCGTAATTGCATCAAAGTCGACCCAAAACATTTACCAAATAACGTATATAAAATTCAATATAAGTCAAACTGACTGGTTCGCTAAATCTAGCGTTAAATTCATGTTAATAATCAATATATATTCATCGCAAGTCTAACACGATACAACAGGAACAGGGGTTAAAACTCCAGTCCGTAGCGCATTGCTAAAATCCAGCCACCAAACAATCACAAACATCCCAGCGCACAGTAAACAAATTGAAAATTCCGGTGTTCTCGCGCAGCTAGACCGCGCGAAAACACATCCGCAGTACACAAACAAAAGGACTCACCATGCTTGATGCTCTGTCTAAATCCCCGCGCGGCGTGCGCGCCGTTGAGATTCCACAGGGCCAGCAGAAGAACGAGGAGGCGTTGAAACGCGAGGAGACGTGGTCGCGTTCGAACGGCCATGATTCACAGCAATATCCGCGATTCTTGATATCGTTGGTGGGAAACAAAGGGAACCATTCACGCACACGCGAGTCATATATCGAAAGCGGGAAAGCGAAATTCTTAACTAGTCTTCGGGCCGCGACTATCGTCACTGACGTTCCGCTCCGATCCCGCTGGCTCGTTCTTCCTTCGATGTCTACGGACCGTCCGTTCGAGCTTTTACCCGCCTGTTATCTTCTCTATCCCGTGGCGGCGCGATCATTTTACGCGTGTGTCCGTCACCTGCGATCGTGTCGTTCGAACCGATTCCATTTTCCCGGTCGAACGACCGAAAGTACACCGGGACGCTAGATCAGTACCGCACATGCGCACACGCGTATCATCGATCGAAAGGTTCGAACGATCTTACAAGAAACTCACTTAACAGTCGAATCTAGCTGAACGAAGGTTTCAATAAAATTTAATTCATTATTGTTCATCAAAACCGAGCGACGTTGGACGTCTCCATCCCTTATCCGCTGGAGACAACTAGATGTTCCATTGCCGCGAGTGATCCCGAACGCGCTTCAGCCACGTGCGATTTTTCCACGTGTCCGGCGTTCACTTGTTGCACCCTGTTAAGTGATTTTAGTATCCCGCGGATTTTCGAGTGGTTTCTTCTTTGGTAAACAAAGACGTCTATCGTTGAGTGGACCGTTTTTGCCTGGCCCGTAGGTTCGTTCCTTTGCTTCGTTTTTCTTTCTTTTTCCGCGAGAGGTACGTTCCGCACGAACACTCGTAAATACACGACCGGGAAACAGGTCCTCGCGAGAGACACGATGTCTCGTGGCGACCGAACCGTTCCGAAAGGGAACCGGGACACACAACGGGAAACACGAACGGTATGAGCGCCGCGAGCGAACTGAACTGAAGTGTCGAGCCACCACCGAGCTACGGACTCTTTGTCCACCCCACCCGGTAACCCTCGCGCGACTTCTCTCTCTTGCGCCACCCTTGCGCTTTGACAGGTAGAAGGACTACCTGATGTACGCGGCCGGCCATGTGCACCGATGAAACTGTTAATGCCTGTTGATGTAAGGTTACGGATTTTTGTATTATCTTTTTAAAGGGTCGAGGCAGGTATAAATTTCAGTAGGCAAGCTCGGGAAGCTTGACCATTTCGTACCCATTCGGGGGAAGGAATTTCGAGATAATGAAACAGTCTAGTGACTAATGCTTGCTTGTTTCAGATTTTTGGGGGGAAATGATAATAGATATTAACCTTTTAACGGGAAATGATGAATTAACACGTCATCTATGGTTTCGTTTTTCAATAGTTCATCGGTTTCGTGTTCATTTATTGAATCATTTTTGTTTTATTAAGCCATAATGTTTGTAGTAATACGAGCCATGAAATGTTGACGTGTATCATTGTATAGTGTTTGTTATATCAATTTAATTATTCCCGAATTATGGTGTCACGAATGCTTACGTTTGGAAAATATGTTGTTAGTAGGTTAACCACTTTAATTTATGATTTCTTTCCTTGGTAGAGCTTGGAAGGGTTGTCTGTTTTGTTAATAATTTTCTGATGGATGAAGATACAGTATGTTTGTTGTTCGTGTATGAAAAGTATTTAGTTAATGTGAATCATATAATATTTATGTTAGATAAAGTTAATGTATATTTGTGTAATGTATATGTATTTTCGATCGTTACACAGATAGTTTTTAAATTAATCAAGAACATTGTTATTTTACTGCATTCCTTCTGTATTTCAATATCTAGAATATATTTTCATTTTCATGATTATGGCTCCTATGTTATTAATAGGTAATTGATATATGTACTCGACAATTTTAATTGAAAACAAATTTTGTTTATCGATGTAGAATAATTGTTTTAGGATGTACAGATGGAATTGTGTATCATTTAGAAAGTATCTTAACTTTGGTATTTTTATTCTAGGTATTTATTTTTATCTAGATCACATATTACAGTATGAAATCCTATATCCAAAATTAATAATATTAATAATAGGTTCTTATACCATAAGGAATAACTCATGTTTGTTCAACAAAGATAGTATTTGTCGTTACTAATCGCAGTCCTTTTCGTTTTTGTCTGTATTATTCACTCTTATTGACCATACGTATTTATTTACTCTTTTTTAGTTTTCCTACCTTTCTTAAGAAATTTTTCCTATTCTATCATCGTTGAATGGCTTGTGCTACCTTAGATTGATGATTTCAACATTTTTTAAACCTTATTTCTAAATTGTTTTAGAAGAATAATTATTAGTTAATGAAAGAATGTTATGAAATAATTTGTATCAGAATAAATATATTTACTCAACAGAGAAAAAATATATTTTCATCTTCTATTTATATGTGAAATTTGATGTAGTTAATAATTTGAAAAAGTATGTTCAAGATATCAATAATTAGAAAAATTCATTTTTCACGTGCGAATAAATTGTTTATATATATATTAATCAGTATAATTGTCACGAAATATAGTTGAAATAAATGAGTCTAGACAAATAAGAAGTGAAGTATTATACTTTTAAACCAAGTTGAACTTAAGGTAGATCATTCGATAGAATATTACGAGGAAACATTTTGCAGGAACTTTTAACCCTTCACCTTAACTAATCTACTATTGAAATGTGTATAAAGATAAGAAATATATGATAAGACTATGTTGTCAATACTTACCTACGAATTTTGAAATAATAGGATTAAGCGTATGACACTTTCCTAAAACATTGTAAAATAATGTAGGACTATATTACCGGTATTCCTCCAAAAAAATTAAAAATAATGTAGGATCATGTTCCAGATATTCAGCTAAAGAATTTAAGTGATATAGGACTACGTCTTGAATGTGTTAAAAATAAATTCTCAAACCAACATGCATGTATTTGAAAAAGACCATATAAGATACACGGCTAGTAAATCACTGACTCCATTAAGTACAGAAAAATTATTTTAGTATATTTCAAATTGCAATGATGTTAAAATATTATTAAAACAATTGTAACTAAACAATTAGCATTGTCATTTAGTTAGAAATTGCAAAAATATGTAAGGAGTGTAGAAATAAAAAGTGGCTCCATGGAGTCATGAACCTACGTCCAAAGTGTTTCGAGAGGTTCTACGGTCGGACAGTTATCCAGTGAGTTGACAACAGTTTTTAGATCGAATTGTGAACTAAATATAGGAATCGATTGGACAATCAACGTATTTTTATGATTCGATTTTGTGGTGAGCTCGATTTTCATTTTTGAGTTACACGCAACATTATCAACAGAGTTCAGAAGTAGATGCAACCAAAGTTGCATCGACGAAACGAAAGATTCACCGCAATCTCATAATCTTGTGCTATAACGCTTGCTTTTACGTGGACAATTTAGCCATTAATAATTAATACCATCGTTCAAAAATATATTATCATACAATATTATTAAGTATAAAGAATTCTTGATAACGTGAGAAATTTGTAAGAACAACATGTCGTATGAAAATCGTAAATAAATATTTACATTTACCTTTCGTTATCTACAAATATACCAATAGCACCTCAAAACTTTTTAATAACAATAAAAATAATCTGAAAGTTAATTAAAAAAGTCTTTATCACGCTATAAATATAACTAAAGAAACTCGACATATTCTTTAACAGTAGCAAAGACATTAATAATCTTAACACCTTGAAACAGTAACATCGTCTCAATTTAGTACACGATCGGTCCAGTCTCCATTTGAATTTGCTGCTCCTCAAATGCAACAAATCTCGCACTACATAATCGTTTAAGGGGCACAGAAATATAATAAACATTCAGGCATAGATTTTTAAGCATTTTTTTACTAAAGAAACATATTTCAATAACGAACACACACGGACAAATCAGTGGTCGAACTAAACGATACAAGATTAGGTACTTCTCTATTTCTTCTTTGCATCTAGAAGGTTACAATGCTTTGGTTACCTTTTTTTTGGTTTTAGGTATATAGGATACTTATGGGTATAATTAGTGTTCTTTCTTAGTTTTCTTTACCTCGTTTTTTTCATCTCTCTTTAGCACTGAAATTACCAAGCGGCTCAAAAACTTCAAGTTCGCTCGTAGTCGTCACGGCTGCTCGATCGCGTGATCGATCTCGACACACGTAGTACTACTATCGTTATACAATAATTACTATTACTATCGACTCGCCCCGACAAAATTCCGACCGTCAATCACGCGTATCAAGGAGCCAACTATTGCTTCGCATTTCAAAGATAAACATATGATGCGGCCACCCGGAAATCTCCGTAATATCTTCTTTATTACAACGTCGTTTACACTAAATTCACAGTTTGAGAAAGCGACCAACGAACTCTCGCCAAGCCCCTCCCTTCGAGAATCCAAGAAAGAGTCGCTGAAGAGGTTCTCCTCTCGGTCCACGTTGGATTTGTTAATTTTATCGATCGACGAAATATTTATCGTGGACAAGAGTGTCACGCCACTCTCGTCGCAGTTCCGTGGCCAACCATTGACTATTGTTATACGTGATATGCGCAGACAGTTATCGATATGGCGTTTAAATATTACACGTTAGTCGTACCAACGAATAATCCACTATTTTCTTAATCAAATTTCATACCTTTCTTCCAAGAATATTCATGTTCCAACACTTCGAAAGATTTTCTTGAAACAAACTATCATTTCACTACGAAAATAGTAAATTACTCATTGGTGTATTCAATACAAATAAACGCAGAAAGTTTTTTACGGTTCTGTTTTGTTTTTCTTGTTTCTCGGTTTTTCCTGGATTTACAGTGACGCGTAGGCGCTCCAGTTCGGCGGTGACATCACTCGGGTACATAACAAATAGAAGGTTCGATGGTCAACAAACTGTCGCGTGCCAAAATCTCTGCGTTCTTCGCGTGACGCGTTGAATTCAGATTGTTCTCACTTCCAGTTCGCCGATCACGCGGCGGCACGACGTTACTTCTAGTTTGTACGAACACGATACATTCAACGTGATATTTATTTTGATATGTAAGCGGAGTTCGGAAGGATATGTAAATCGATTTGAGTGAACGGTCGAAAATTTCTAAGACAATAGAGTCTTTGGTATCCCATAACTTGCTCGAAACGTCTCGTCGTGTTTCCGAACGAACGAGAATCGCTGTTATTCATCTTTGTCGCAAGGAGAAAAACTTTGCTCGGTATTTCTAAACTATAAAACGATTTACATTGAAAGCAGGTTACGCGTTACAGGTTCGTGATGTTCGGCTCGATCTAACGACACGATAACAGATCTTTCAAACGGAAATTTCATGAAATCGTCGCACGAATACGAGCATTCCACGTGGGAAATTACAAAGAACATCGACATTTCCACTTACAGAGTGCAAACTTGTCGTTCAAATTCGGTTTTCGATTCCAAGATACCTCGAGTATGTGCCAGAAGACATTTCCCTGGAATCTGCTCATCAGTTTTCTCTATCTTAACACTAGGACTACCGAATAGTTATTATGACTGATACGTAATCCGTATAAAGATTGTGACAATACGTTTTTTTACCATATCTTCGGATATTCACTATAGTATTCAGGTGTAAATATCTATTTTCAAAACAATGTCGGACATTGAAACTTTTAAAACATTTTTAAAATATCAGCAACTACAAAATAAGAGAACTAAAACCCGTCGTTTTGACGGATACGGTAGTTCTAGTGTTGAAGAATAACGTGCTTCGTCTTGTCGTTCGCGTTATATTCGTCACGATTCGTTTTGACTAAACTGTAGATTTTCATGCGAGTTCATGTTTTCACTGATATTCGGAAAAATCGGAAATCGAATTTTTCCTATTAAATACTTTGCTACAAACGACAAATCCGTGAATTTTAACATCG